AGGTTAGTAGTGATCTCTACACTGTTCATCAGTTACTGCATCATTCTTTCAACATAACTGTTAAGAGGCTGTTATGATGATGTACAGAAACATTGCTAAATTAGAATGGTATTTTTTTTTTTTGTCATTTAGAAACAAAAATTCTGTCAGCAGGGCCGTCTCAATAAGCACCTAAAGTGCTCACTGACAAAAGCCAGTGTTTTAGGTTAATGTTTGTTTCCCTTAAACTTTGTGTTCAAAATAACAAGAGTGTCCCATACCATGTGATTCATATATAAGGGGGCATCTAATTTTCTGAAGGACTTTAAAAAGAATCCCACTTGTATTCTGGCAAATACTATAACATAGTGAAAACTTATCATGTGAACAAGATTGAAAGGGTATCTTTTACCACCGCCCAAGGTTTCTTGATAAAACTTAATAGAAATATTAGGGACTTTACCCCATCTCTCAAGTAGAACACTGGAATGAAATCTCACAAATGTTGAGTGCTACATCTGTTGTCCAATAGCCATTTGGTAGAAAACATTCTGACAATAGTGAAACAACACAAAACAACTTGTACGTATGCTGGTGTGCTTGTCTATGTGCATATTCTGCAGCATATTCTCTCTCAGAGCTATTGTTCCAGAAGATAAACTCAAGTACAGATATAACCGTGTTTAATTTGTTTCTTACATGAGGCCATTATGTATGTCCGTAACTGATGCTCCTGTGATAATCTGACAATAGAGAAACATAGCTTTGGATTCTTTACCACCACCGTCTCTTGTAATTGCAATAACAGGAAGAGCGGTAAACATAATAGCTATCACTGACGACACCCCTGGCAGGTGCCAGATGCCACACAAGGGCCTGCGGGCATTAATTATGTTAATAGAGACAAAAGGCCAAGCACAGGCCCTGCGGTGTGGTAAGAGCCCAACAGATGTCAGCAATTACTATTATTGTTATTATTATAACTTTTTATTATTTGGTTCTCACAACAACTGTTTGAGGCAAGCATTCAAAGAAAAGAACATTAAGGAAAACCATGAAGGACACAGAGGCTCTGGGACATTTTCTGAGTTGCCCAAGGTCAGAGTTATTAGTGAAAAGGGGAAAGGAACGATGCATGGGCATCTCTTTCAATAAATATTTTGCATTTAAAAAAAAAGCCACATCTATATATATTAAAGAGGGTGAGAGCAAAAGCAGTCCACGTTAATTTTCAACAGTTGCTTTGTATTTCAGTACCAGAAGATGAGATGAGAAGCCTGGAAGGGACCCAGTTTTGAAGACACAGGCAAGAACACCATGGCCATTGCTGAAAACCAGAACCTGTACCTCTCAGACCAAAGCAAAGCAAGGGCAAGCAAGTAATGTGAATAGTTGATGCATCTTGAGTAAGCAGCAGGGAGTAGAGGGACCAGGAATAACTGGTAGGGACAGCCATCAGTGTGTACCTCTCTACAGCCTTCAAATTAAATTTTTGGAAACTGAGGTATAATCAACATATAACATTAAGTTAGTTTTCAGGGGTACAACATAATGACTCAACATTTGTATATATTGTAAAATAATCGCCACAGTAAGTCTACTTAACATCCATCACCCTACATAGCTACAAAATTTTTTCTTGTGATGACAACTTTTAAGATCTTCTCTCCTATCAAGTTTCAAATATGTCATATAGCATTATTAACTATAGTCACCATGCTGTACTTTACATCCTCATAACTTATTTATTGTATAACTGAAAGCCTGTACCCTTTGGTTCCCTTCACCCATTGGTGTACCTTCCACCTTCCCACCTCCAGCAACCACTCAAAATTAAGCTTTTGAAAAAGGATACTTCTGTTGGCCACATCAAGCATAGAATATGGTACGCGGGAGTTGGCCTTTACTAGGAGTGCCAGTTAAATATTCAGGCATTTTGTTAGCCAACTGTTGGTAGTTTGAAATCAGCCTTTGTGCGAGTAATTATACTATGGAAATTGACAAACAATATAAATCAAACCTTCCCCCCACCTCCACCAGAAAGCTAGTCTATCAGCATTGTCTCTATATAAAATCATGTATGATTTTTGTTTTAGATTTGTTTGCCGTCTCTGAGTCCTTATTCTAGGCTTGAGCAGGTGTTCATGACCAAAGTAAGGTGGTCTTTTTCTTTTTTTTTAAGATTTTATTTATTCATTCATGACAGAGAGAGAGACAGAGAGAGAGAGAGAGAGAGAGAGAGAGAGGCAGAGACACAGGCAGAGGGAGAAGCAGGCTCCATGCAGGGAGCCCGATGTGAGACTCGATCCTAGGACTCCAGGATCACACCCCAGGCTGAAGGCAGCGCTTAACCGCTGAGCCACCTGGGCTGCCCAGTAAGGTGGTCTTCACATAATTAACCAACAGCTTTTCCCTTAAATAAATACCCTTTATATGTGGTCAAGAGGAAACTACAATCCAGTGGAATGCTTTCAATGGACCAGGATGAAGTGTCCTCATTACCTCATTTACAATTAAAAAAAAATTGGGTGAAGAGAGCCTAAACTCTTGACTTCCCTAGGCTCAGGTCCTTGGACAAATTGCTATGTCATGTCCTCTCCACAGCATAGTGAGCTCTTCCTGAACTGATGACATGGAATCCATTTTCCATCCCTAGCTCACTGATCTGTTGCCCTAGGTCACAGTCTCCAAAAAAACCACCACCTGGCCACGACTAGTTTCTATCATAATTATGTGTTGTAGGAAGTCCTCTTATTTCTCCTCCAAATCAGACAGTTGTCTATTTAGGGATTTTCTCTGAAAGGACACTGTAATCTGGAAATGAATTAGAGTTTTTTTGTTTAACCTTCCACAGAAAAGTCCAGCTTCCAACAAAATGTGAGGCAAATGAGAGATGTTAGCTAATCTGTGTAACCACAGGACTTTCAACCCCGCTTTGCAAAATCCTCACGCTTCCATTTAATGACTGCTGCGGATGGAAATGAGACAAGGGATAACAGGAAGTGCTGCTTTCTTGTCCAGATTCATGAACCACACCTGCTCCACTGCTTCTGTATCATGCAAACAGCTCCAAATCCATCCAGAGACTAGAACCTGAGGAGCTGCAGAAGCAAGTCAAGGTAGGATCGTATACTTTATCAGCCTTGTGAAGCAAGGCAACTCCCCACCTTCCTCAGCCTCCTGTAGAACCAACTTCTCCCTCACTGTTCTCCCATTGGCTCAGGTCATGGCACCTCAGTTTATGTTTATCCACCTCTCTCTCTCATTTCTTACCATAGGTTGTTTTTAAATGCTTCAATCTAATAGGATGTAAGCCCCTTAAAGACAGTGATAGTGTCTTATCTACCTTTGTATGCATTATGTGACAGTAGTAGGTACTCAATAAAAGTCTGAGGAAAGAATGAAGGAGTATTTGTCCTCCCTGAGCACTACATTCCTCAGCAACGTTAATTCCATTCAGAGTACGATGCTGGGCACTGACAGGGCAGGAGATTCTTAGGAATGAACTTTGGAGCTGGAGCATGAGGGCGGGGGCAACCAAAGGAAAGGAAGGGAGCTTTTATTGTCATCTTCACTGAAACTGTGCTGGGACCCCTGGGAGAAAAGAGCAGGGAGTCACATCTGTCGAAGCACATGCCACTATCCCTTTTAAAAAGCTGAATTATAAGAATCTCAGGATGTTTTTTAGAAAAATAGGTTTTCAACTTATTTCAAAGAAAGAAAAAGAGCTTAACATATGTTATTTCACTCTAAAAAAACCTTTGAAATATATTCACCTTAAACCTTTGGGTAGTAACAGTAATACATGACAACGGTTACTCTCCTAATTATAGTACTGGTCATGTCAGATTAGATCTACAAAACCTATAGTGGCCAAATTCATGGTGACAGAAAGATGGCCATTGCCAGTGGTTGGGGGTTGTGGGGTGCAGAATGGAGAGTTAGTGTTTAATGGGTACAGAGTTCCAATTTTGCAAGATGAGAAAAGATCTACAGTTGGATGATGGTGATGTTTGCACGAAAATGTGAATGTATTTAATGCCACTGAACTGTCCATTTAAAAATGGTTAAAGTAGTAAATTTTATGTTATGTACATTTTACCCAGTTTTTAAAAATGCACAGAAGTTAGAAGGAGTTCTCACCTCCAGCCTCCCTAGGCTGCTTCTTCTTTTTTTTTTTTTTTTCAGGCTTTTAAAATATTTTCTTGATGCTTCATCAAATCTACTTTATGTTCTCTCCTTATTTTTATATACTCCAAAGTGGACATCATACAGAAAAAAGATTTATGTACACAGATCTGTTACAATATTTAATTATTAGTTTATATAGTCTGCAATCTCAAAGGACAATTGGTGCGTCACATGATCCACTGAACAAAAGTGATCTGCAGGCCTGGTGACACTGGCAAACACAACACATCCTATTAAAGTTTAGATACGCAGGAATTTTAACAGTGTAATTTCACACATGTAAAACCTTTTTAAATGAGGACTTTGAGAACTCAGAACAAACTATCTTTGTGAGAGGAATACAGGGCTTGGTTCATTTATGACTCCAATGCCAATCCACTTTACAGTGGGAAAATGTAACTTCCGAGTAGGAGGCAATGAAGCCAGACTAAAGCTGAAAGCAGCCAAAGGACCTCAAATGAGTACAATGCTCTTACTGGGGTAGTACCAAACAGAGTTCAAAAAAGAGATGCATGGTGAGATCCTAGAGGACTGGTTCTCTGGAGGTGGCCAGATCTTCAAAACCCAGGCGCTGCCACTTACTGTCTGTAAATTTTACACATAAACTTAAATCCTCAGTTATCTTCTCTGCAAAGTGGGGAGAAATGAATGTCTCTCATAAAGTATGTCTCTCATAAAGTACTAGTATCCCATTAAATGAAGTTAAAGAAGATAATGCAAGCATCTGGAGCATGGCAGATATTCAATAATTCTTAGATATTATTATTAATCTTCATGATTATTATGTATTGCTAACAATATATTTATTATTAGTAGGAGTATGTACATACACTTCTGAAAAGTAACCAGGTCTGCCTCAGAGACTTGTCCTGATGTCCTGCAGTGTCTGAGAAAAAGGCAGGCACCTTTAAAGGCGGTGGTCTAGTCTAAAAACAAAACAGAAAAAGGTCTAATCTATCCATCCCCTTTCTTTTACATCAGTGGTAACTTCTGCCTAGAGAGATTTAGGACTTGACTGAAGGCCAAGTGTTCTTTAATCCAGGGCTTCTTCCTCTCCACTGCTGAACTTCTACAAGTGGCAGAGTTATGGAAGCAGCTGAATGCTCAAACCTCACCTCCTAAATGTGACTGCATGCCTGTAAGAAATAAGTGACTCGCTCCGTCCTGTGATGGCTGAATGAGTAATGATACCAGCTAACATTTATTGAGTGCTAGCTATGTGCTGAGCATACCTGAGAAGAAATCAGGGGCACACTTGGAACGTGCTAGGAATGAATCCTACAACATAAACACACATACCGAGGAAGCCTGTATGGGATGATCAAATAAGCCTCACTGTCCATACCACACAATCATACACCCTCAGGAGACCTTGGTCTGGGGTCCCGGGCTGTCTGTCCAGTTAAATACGGAACACTAGACAGCTGACTGGAAGCTCCATGCACAAAGGCTGGGCATGTCGACCTTGGGATTCAGGGATATGATGGGCTTTTTAGTTACATAATATCCAAGGGCAGTACACTTGGGTCTATTTACTTGGGCCAGAGAAGGTACATCTCATCTGGTCTTGGAGAGTCTAAACCTCCTTGCCAGGATCCTGGGAGCCAGATGGGGGAAGACAATCAAAGATCTCCACATTCAGAATGCAGCCTTTCGCTTAAAAACCCCGATTTCACTTTGGTGGCCCAGCCCTTAATAGTGCCTGGCTCCAAGGATGAAAAAGCAGAACTGAGTTTCAGTGAATTCTCTTGTTTTGAGCCCCACTTTCACTTCCATCTCCAGAGATACCTAGTGTGAGCCATTCACGAGCCCTTTGTGCATTCTACAGTTTAACTGGCTTTCTTGGGTTTGCTAGTCGGTTTCTATTCTCTGCTTTCCGCCTTATCCAATGTTGATATTGTGGTCTTCCGTTAGTCATAGAGGATTACTATCATTTTGCGGAGTACCTCACTGTTGTTTTATTGGCATCTCAGAAGGAAATGAAGAGTAACAGCTATATTCTATCTGTTCCACCTAGTCTAATTTTTTTTTAAACGTAGGCTCCACGTCCAACATGGGACTTGAACTCACAACCCTGAGATCAAGAGTAGCCTGCTCTACTGACCAAGCCAGCCAGGCACCCCTATCTAGTCTAATCTAGGCATTCTGCATACACTGTTGAATTCTACAATGGTATGCAATACTTACTATCATCCCCTTTAGTGGGTTTCAGCGAGTTTCAGCAACTTGCGCAAGATCTCCCAGGGGGTTTGAACTCACGTCTTTCTGATATGAGATTCCAAGCTGTAGATCATGACAACACCCAAGCATCTATGGTGAAATAATAGCTGCTGGGATGCCTGGGTGGCTCAGCGGTTGAGTGTTTGCCTTTGGCTCAGGGCGTGATCCCGCTGTCTTAAGGATCAAGTTCCACATTAGGCTCCCTGCATGGAGCCTGCTTCTCCCTCTGCCTCTCTCTGCCTCTCTCTCTCTCTCTGTGTCTCTCATGAATAAATAAATAAAATCTTAAAAAAAATAATAGCTGCTGATCGTCACTGACTATTCATTATGTGCTAGGCTTCTCAAGTGCCTTGTGAGAATTTGCTGCAACTGGTCTGTGAGACAGGTACCTATTCCCATTCACCCATTTTATGGAGGAAGAAATGAAGTGACAGACTGGTTAAGGAGCCCAACCAAGAACACAAAGCTCAGAAAGTCTGGCTCCAGAGGCTGTGTTGTTGTTGTTGTTGTTGTTGTTGTTCTTCTTCTTCTTCTTCTTTTTAAAGATTTTATTTATTTGAGAGGGAGAGAGGGAGGGAAGGGTAGAGAGAGAGAGAGAGAGAGAGAGAGCAAGAGAGAGAATGAGCAGAAGGGAGGGGCAGAAAGAAGCAGACTTGTTGCTGAGCATGGGTCCCAATGTGAGGCTCCATCCCAGGACCCCAGGATCATGACCTGGGCCAAAGGCAGACACTTAACTCACTAAGCCACCCAGGCACGCCCAGGGGCTGTGTTCTTAACACTCACCAAAGAGCTAAATATACTACATCTACCTTGTGGATTTCCATGATCTACTTTAGGAACCTCCCCCTGCTCTGCCTTTTTCCTTTTCCTAGATGACTTAATCCAAAGAAACACAAATAAACCCCAAATCTCCTTAAATCAGCCAACCAAAGCAGAGATAATGAATAGAAGACAATCAGATTTAAAGTAAAATCATTTTGAAAATCTTTGCAATAAGAAATTATTCTACTAGATCATGCTACCCTCTGCTTATAGTTATCTTCAGACATTCAATTCAGGAAAAATGTGAAGAATGTGCCAATATAACTAGACATATTTAAAAACCTATACTTTTTAGAGAAGAAACCATAAGTACAATTTGCTTCCTAGTCTGATAGCCTAAAATTATGTATGCTAGGGGGTGCTATTGAACAATTGTAGGGTTTTTTTGTCCACTTGGTGTTCTTAGATTTGCATGTGATAGTGCTCTGGGCTAGGGTGAGCTTCTAATTTTTAATTAAGTCTCTTTAACCTCGGCCTGCTGTCAACTAGCACACTATTTTACTATAGAAGAAATTTTAAAGTCAGCCATATTCATTATATGTACAGTTAGTCCTCATGCACGCAGAAGCATTCATCACCCATTATTTCTTTTCCACTTACATGTCCAAAAACTCAATTAAGAGATAATGAAATGTAGGTGTTAAACCCAAGGAAGGTGTCACTGTCTCCAGAGCCATATCAATGGTATAAAGACTTGTGCAAGCTGTGAGCTTAAGGCAGCACAAAATCAAATTAGCGAAACCAAAACATTAGCCATCAGGAAATTTTAGTTCTAGATCTCTTCTCCACAATTAAGCTGAATTACCTAAGTCGTTGTTAATAAATCACAATGCAGGAAATACACAGGGTTAGGAAGGCTAGAAAACACAGCAGGGCTTATGTTGAACTGATACAATTTTGGCTACGCCGATTCCGTCTAAAACAAAAAACGTGATGTAGTCAAACACAGAGAAGTCCAAATGCCACGCGGAACCCCCCTCCCAGGCCCTGCAATTAGGAATGAGGCACTTGTAGAAAATTCTATCCTTCTCTGAACTTCCAAGAGTGGTCTAAAAAAAATGATTTGTTCTAGAATTGTGCCTCATTCTACACAAAGTAATTTCAGTGGTGGATGCCTAAATTTGTTTTGAATGAATAAAGGTTATCTATTAACTCTGGCACTGACAAGTCTGCTGCACTTTCAAGGGAAATAAAGAACCTTCCACCTAGGCTGAAAGGCACTGTAGTGAATGCAATCTACCGAGAAGGCATTATTACCTTGATTATTCCCTCACTGCTTCACACATCGCTTCCCCGGATGGAAAGAATGACCTAAAGGAGGTAATGCGTTATACCTACTGCTCTGATATTTTATGCAGCTCCTAGGGTAGCGCCAGGCAAAAGGAACTCAATGAACATGTGTTGATTGATAAACTGTACAGACAGAAGTATGAGCTAATTCCTCTAGGGTTTATCCATGTTCAGGGAAGCATGCCTATAGTTCAGGGAGAGCCATTCCTCCCTTAACTGCTGTGTAAAGGTGAAAGCACACCATTTTGCTAAAAGAACCATTTACCTTCTTGAACGTTATTATGTCAAACATAATTTTTTCCTGTCAGCTCTTGAGTCCAAGATAATTATTGCTTCTGATCAGAAGACTTAACAGCTTCTGGAGTACCGAGGTAAAGTGTTCCCCACCCCCACCCCCCCTACACACAGAACCACGTGAGTTACTCCACGTACTCGTTTTCTAAAACCATGTAGTTTGTGCTTGGAAATAGCTTTCGGCAGCATACACAACACATAGGTCCTTTTGCAGTTGGCAACTCTCAAACTACTATTCTGGGATACAGACTAAAAAAAGAAAACCATAAAAGTCTTTTTGGTTGAAAACTGGTTCTTAGATGATTTTTTTTTTTAAAGAAACCAAAGGGGGAAAAAAACCCCAAAGTATCATATTTAAAGAAATTCTAAAAATATATCTCAGTAGACAATGTCAAACTTTTGCAACCAACAGTTACTTTCCAGGGAGTAATTTCAAGGATTTGGGAGAGAAAACACTTTGAGTATGGGAACTGGGGGTAGGCAAGTAACCGGATTGTGTCTTCTAACTCACATCTGTTAATCCTCAAATCCCAAATTTTGGCATCATCTTGTTACTGAATGTGTGCTGCCTCCCAGGTCACACCTACCTGACTATATGAGGCTAAGGGCCTACTGCCGGGCTCAAGGTAGTCTGCAAAGGTTTGGCAAGTATCCTGTCCACTCCTCACCCTTGCAGCCAGGGAAGCTGAGGGGCACAGTCATGTATCTTTGAAGTGGGCAGAGGGTTGGGTGAGGACAAGCACCTCTGAAATACATGAAGGTGGCTTCTTGCTCTGGCACTGGTAGACTCACCTGGGGCTACACAAATCCACTGCCCTGGAATTTATTCTAAATATGGTAAATGCCCTTGCCCAGATGATCGCCACTAAAAATTGGACTCTTCCACACAGGCTGGAAATGATCTCTACTCAGAGAAAGGTTTCTCATAGAGAACACAAATAGCATGGAAACAAGAGCGCTTAGGCAACACTTAACAGAATTAAGAAAATCAACTGTTTTCCAAAGGCCCTTATGCAGGCACATCAGAGAGCATAGTTTGCATATAGACAACTGAAGCACTAATTAAAAATAATTCTTATCTACTCATTAAAACAGGTAATTTAAGAGCTGCCATTAGTCACCATCTCCTTAATCTACAATCAAAGAATCATTCGAGGTAAAGCGAAGAATTAATTTCATAGGGGCATCTTTGCCGGGGGCTAGCTACTTATAGAGGAGCATGGATCAGGGATTATGCTTAAGACATCTGATGATTCTGAAGAGCCTGATCCTGGGGGCTCATGACTTGCTGGTTGGTCTA